CCTTGTATTGTTCACCATTAGCAAGCAGACAAATAAAAAAGCGATATTTTGTATTTTATTTTAATGGAAGTTTTAATGTAATAAAAACTTTCGTGACCGTAAATGAAGATATTCATGCATGTGTGTAAATATTAAATTTAAAACGGTCTCACAAAACGCTAGCTTATCTGTAACAAAACTATATAATAGTAGTTTTTATGCAAATCTCACAAAATGCGAACAAATCGTTTTCTAAATTGTAGAGTGATAAGCATGACAGCTGTATCTCCCTAAAAAGAATCCCCAGAGATCGCACTCCTACTGTCGATGACGATATTACGCCCTAATATGCACCAAGAGGGGTGTTGTAGTTGAACATATATTTACACTTTTATGTCGGTATAAAATGTCTATTAGTAGAATTGAGACGTATTTTTACTATAAAATGTTACATATTTCGAAAAGCTAAAGGTGAAAAACATTAGTCAAATAATCTTGTATTGTGTGTATGTTCTTAATTATGTATATACATACATCGGCTATAACCACAATTAAGAACTCTCAAATAGACTTTAAGACGATGGCTTAGTTTAATAAAATTCTTCTTCTTCTAAAATTCTTGAACAATAATTATAAACGTTAAAAGTGGGATTTATACGAATACGAAAATACTAATATTACAATACACACAGTTTACAAAAGTTTATAAACTTATGTTAGAATGAGGTTAAAGGGTGTTTTAGGCTGCTATTTAAAATTTGGTACAAACTTTCAATACACATCATGTTGAATAATCATTTAATTGATACAACACACTCTAGCTTTGTAGCGACAACGTGTTTAATTGTGCATGTTTAAATCCGTTTAGTTATGATGCAGTTCCTTCCTCCAAACTACCTCTATTATAATTTCGATTCTTAAGATCAACTGTACAACATAACTTGTACAACAGTTTTACAATGAATTAAAGGAGTTGAAAATATTTTACGTTTCGTACCATCATCATCGCCATTCTCTGCCTTAAATCAACCATAACTGAGTATTGGTCTGGCTCTATTCACACAAATTTTACGATTTGGTGATCCTGCATCTTCCTGCATTAAAGTTTTCCTACTACACTGGTAGTCTGACCAGTCCATCTCACTGCTAGTGCACTAACTATGACGGGGATTTTTCTAAATAACCACTCCATCAGCAGTTTAGTGATGGAGTAAGTATACGTAATGTCACCTCCCCTTTTCAACCTGTGGGTGTCGTAAAAGCTGACTAAGGGAGCAAACTCTGCAGGATAACAGCACTGCAAAGAGAAGGAAAACTTTATACAAACCCTATACCAACATATCTGGCCAGCGTGGTATAGGAGGCCAAAACCTAATTTCTAAGGAGAGGCTTATGTCCAGCAGTGGGCATATATAAATAACCGTGTTACTTAAATAATTACAAATATATAGAATATTTAAGTGGGTATTTAGGCCATGTCAAATTTGATTGGCTTAAACGTCCTTCACAACTTACGTTGCAGTTGCTCAAATATTGTTAGCGATAATCCTCGCACCAAGCCGTTAATACCAGTATAAGTCTTAAATAAGCCAGACAAATGAGGTTAAGTGTGTAAGGAATTAGTGGAATCCCCTAGATAATTGCCCTCGTAGTCCCGTTTGACTCATTGAAGGGTGCCAAAGTGCATGGTCGGAGCATGTTACAGTAGTTTTGCATTGTGTAGTAGTAGAGAATAATTTCCTACATTTAATATGTCTCAAGCACCTATTGTGCTAACAACTGGGATAGTTGGTTCACGAGTCTATTCAATTACATACAATGATGTAGAGATTTAAATTCTACCATTAAAAATATAAATAATATTTTTAAGAGATTACATTAGGATATAGTACTGACTCTAATGAAGTTGTCTGTATATCTTTAGTTTTATACTACTGTAATAGTGTATTGTGATCACAGAGATACTTAACTAATTTATTGTGTTGTTACATTTTCTCATTATGTAAGTGAACTGTATTGTTCTTTTTATGAGAAATAAATGTCTCTAAACCGAACCTTTTTTTTTTCCGTGCGGAAATCCCCTCGGAATAACCTAATCTAATAGCAATAATTTCAGGTTCAACAAACTTAATTGCAGATTATTTTTATAGCTTAAATATCGTGTTATATTCGAGCAGCAAATAAATGAAGATCTTTAAAAAATTCCAATGCGTATCTTTTCAGGTTTATAACATAGGAGATAAGTGAAAACTTTGAGTGGAACAATTTTCTACCACTGGCAATATTTGTTAATCGTACCAAATAGGCACAGGACTCTAAAGAGGTCAGTATTAATTATCTGTTTAAGTTGGAATGTAAATAATAAGAATTGCAATGACATAAATAAATACAAGATTGGTATTTAGAGGAAATATACTTTGGTGAAATTCTCTTAACTGATTCTGTCAGATCGCGAACTGATTATTATAACTCTTGCAGAAGATTATCAAACTAAAAAAATATCGAACGGAATAAAATTATTTTTATGTACTTAGTTGATAAAATTCACTCTCTATAATAAAATAAAATTACCCAAGAAGACATAACTGATGAACTGTTTGTGAGTGCATTTTTAATTATTTTTTAATGTGATAAAAGCAATGTTAGAAACAATGTTTGTTAAAAATAAGTTGTCATGAAGTAACATAAAATGTAGAAAACATTTGAATTTATAAAAAATAAAATATTTGCCTTAATTAAAACAGAGACCGATTGTCTTGTGATCTGAACCATCCAGGGATAATCGCAAAGACATACAAAAAATCAACATCAAAAATTATGTAAATCGGTAAGTACAACGGATTTAAAAGATTAGCGACATGCAGACGCAAAGAAGAATTATGGCTATATATGTGTACAATCATGGTTATGTTAAAATGTTTTTTCTAAAAACTACATAGTTATTATAACAAAAATCATTGTAAAAGTAGTCCGTTCACTAGCCTAATACGACCACCATTCTGATAATAGAGCTATATAACGCTATCTTACTCGGCCCCAATTCGCGAATACTGGCGCGTCCACCCCATTACATATTCTTACATACAGAAACGACACCAACTTATACATACACCCAGTACATAATTAAACAAACGATTACCTACCTTAACACTTAAAATATAAGAATCAAGTAAAGAAAAGGCAGTATCAAAATAATTTGGTATATTTCTCCATATCATATGACATTGACCGCAGTCAGGGGACAAGATGACTCACCGATAGAATAAGGGTAGTTGGTTTCTTCCAGACATCGCTATTATATAATAATAGGCTGTTGTTTCATTGTTCGTTGATGTGATATCTTGGTGGATATATTGACATCTTGTTTATGAACAAATTACGTCAGAATGTAGGCGACAGCCTTGCTTTATGTCGTGATGTCATATAAACATAATATATTATCCTTTTAGGCAATGTATGAACGTATCTGGTAACGGACAATAGATGGGCTTTAAGCCTTAAAGATGGTTACAAATTTTTAGTTTTTATACTATTCATTTGAATTTTATCAATAATTCATCGATGTTTCTAAGATTCTTAATGCAGTATTTGTAGAAAATTCACATTAGAATTGAATGATTGGATTTAGCTTAACTTTATAATACTATTCATTATGAAATCTTTTATGAGGTATTTCAAACAATCTAAGTTAAAGTTGAATAACCAATTGAATTAAATTCAATAAGAGATGCACAATGCACAATGAAAACCTTAATTGTATTAAACTCGATTCCGACTAGAATTGAACTTCGACAGGTAAAAGTGAATCGCTAGAGCCTTTCGTCTTTGTACAAAGACGTACTTTGAAGTTTGTCGACGAAAGTCACAAAAGCTTTGGATTAATGTGTTTGTGTGTACGGTAATACATACATATACGTACAGAGTTCTATTAAACGCCCATTTGAATTTGGTCAAGCCTGTTATCGTCAAACGAGCACTTTGGAAAATAAATTTAGAGATGTCTTCTGGGAAACGAGGCTTTTATCTCGCTCAATCGGTAGAAAGTAATTTGAAGTTAACTTTATAATTACTTTAAATAACCCCTATTTCAGCACACATTAAACACAATAAACAAGTTAGCATAAGCTCACAGCTTCTGGAATTCTATGTGGATATGTTGCTGATATGCTCCCATCTCTAACTCATTCTCCTCTCTCTGCTCCTTGGTATGGGACTACTATATACTAGACACTAATTAAATTGTACCACGCTAGCCGTGACGTTGTGTTTGAGGTGTAGGTATTGTACTATGTTGTAAATATATACAACATAGTACAATACAATAACTATATAGTTGTTATATTGTTATCATATATTAAATAAATTAAAAGTAAAAAACCTTTTTAAAAACAAGCTTCTATTTAAATACGCTAAAAAGAATAAAATGAACTTTTCTTTTAAAAGTTTTACTAACAACTTATATCGTCATTACACAATTTATATATCATAAGCTTGTCACGAGATTTAAGTACTCGTATTTAAATCAATCAGATCAAGTTATTTAATTTACTTGTTTATCTACACATTTTAATCTCTTGTCCAATTGGTAGGTTGAATAATTTCTTCACGACCCGACCCAAATATTTGTATTGAATAAATTAATAACCAAATATCAATACTATCTCTTGTCCTCTAACAAATGAACCCTTATAAATTGCTGTATTACACAATAAAATATCATAATAAATACACCCCTGTGCAAAATATCCCGCAAGTAAATGAGATATCGATTAAAGTAAAATTTGCGTCTCACCGCTCACCATAATAGAGTAGGAACTAGCGACAAAAACCCACAAATGATTTGCAATTATGCAGTCTCAATAGACTTATTACAGCAGTAGAGGGGCCGAGACGACGGACGACGGGTGGTGAGCTACAATTGAATTTTAACGACCTATAATATTCGTGACATACAGAAAATTAGGTTGTACAACTGAATTTCAATTATTATTATTTTTAAGTCGATTTTTGTTAGATTAAATATGCAGAAGATTAAATCTAAACTGCAGAAGGCGGAGGCGGAGATCGCTCACCATGAGGTAAGTCGTGATATAAAATAGTTACATATGTACTTAAACCGCTTCCATACGTAACGATAGTTTTTTCAGTGCTTATAGTATGGTGATAAGTTAAAAGTTTTCTTAAGTATTTTTCTTTCCATTTTTAAACAGCCAAAGTAAGACAATACATAATATAGAACACATATATTAGTAATACTATCACATTTCAAAAACACTTTTCTATCGACCATCAATGAGGTCTATGAGTTTCATCTACTAATTTTTTTTTTAGTCAAAACAAATTGTAATGTTATGTTAGTTTGAAAAACAAAATATTATAACTGTGGACATACATTTAAAAACATGTACTCGTACTATCTACCTGTGCATTTTAAACTGGCTATCCAATTCAACGTACTGTAAGTCACAAACTAAGATTCGGGTACAGATGGCTGTCCAGATTTGTGGCTCGCAAGAGAATCCCATTTGTGAAGAAAGAAGCACTGCGGTCGGCAACATGTGAAATAGGCTTAACATAAATGTTAATAAATAATTTATATGAGACCCTCTAACGTAAAACCCTGTAACTCGCTTTGATGTGCATATTTGATTGGTTTTTATCGATTTAAAATATTGATAGGTTGCAAATAGATTTTTATCTTTGGGTGAATATTAGGGTTGATATAAGTTGCAAATTGAGGGGTGACTGAATTGATTGTTAAGTGTAGGATTAATAATTATAATTGTTTTTAGGCAGCAACTGCAAGAACAAATTGTTTAACTGCTGTTTCTTCTCGTGGAATACTTGTTTAATGTTTTATTTTTGTAGCTAGAATATGGGGACCATCATCAACAAGTACAGTCTAATACAAGCTACCCTACTACAGTCAACGGACATCGTAACTGTGATAAAAATATCCGACAGTATATACAAATTAAAGACACAGTAGTAATTTATTTTAACTTTATTCCGTTCCAAATTAACTTTAAGTGAAACAGCGGTGCTTGAAATGTTTTTTTTTTTCTATCAATACCAACACTTTGTGACTACCGTTTTGTTAATCTTTTTCTTACATTTTAACCTTAATTTGCAATATGTTTTTAAATTTGTTTTTTTTTTATTATACAATCCTGACTAACATTTTCCCCTAGAAGAAAATTATACTGACGGGCCTGTTGGTTTGTTGGTCTAGTGGTTAGTGACCTGACTGCAAAACTCGTGAGTTCGATTCCCATCCAGGACAAATAATTGTCTGATGAGCACGATCATTTGCTCTGATTCTGGATTTAATTTATATAGAATACCTATTATATTATATATTTAGAAATATTGTAGTATGTTTATTAGTAGTCTGGTTACCATAACACAAGCTCTGCCTAGTTTGGGATCAGACGGCCGTGTGTGAGATGTCTGAAGTTATTGTTGTTATTCCTTTTGTTGTTTTATTTTTTTAAATAATTATGTTCGTTTGATTTATAACCTGACAATAGCATCGCGACTTCACACAATGCTTTAGAAATCACAACACGTACTACACATCAATTATTTAAATCACACAGCCCATTCAAAAATTCAATTCACGTATATGCACCGGAATAATTTCGAAAAAACTAGTCTCCAATTAGAGAGCAATTGTACAAAAAAGAGGATGTAATTATAATCAATTAGAAAAGTGAACGCAATACGCGCTTTGCACGCATAATTATTCGTTGCACGCGATTCGCACGCGTTTAGCACGTGTTGCACGCGTCAGTAACGAGCGCCTGTGATCTTCCGATGATCATGTGTCAAAGACGTTAAAAGTGAAATTGTTACAGTGGAGTGCGTTGAGGATTATAGGCTCAGAGATAACGTTAGTTAGTACTCTTTTAGTCTGTTTATTTGATGAATATTTGTAACCCCATACTTGTCGAATGAACATACAAGCACGTCTCTTGAAACGAACAAGGTTACGAGCATGGTGTTTGCATGAATTTAAAAAAAGTATTTATTAAAATTAAAATTAAACACAAAGTATAGAGTGATTGCTTATGTAAAAATAAGCATTTTAATATTGTAAGGCAGTCGAATAACGACGATATCTGTCTGCAATAATTTCATTGTAAATGTTGAACTAGTTTGTGTAGTGTCTAGGAGTTAAATTAGCATTTGTACATAGAACAACCTAACAGGTTGTTATTTCTTTTTGTAAATGAAAAAAATTACAGCATTTACAGATTTACAGAAGTAAATTAAAATAGATTTTCCTTGTGTTTTACACGTTTAGATTAGAATACCAAGATAAGAAAACTGTGTGTACAAGATCCGAATGCTGACATCTGAGCACTAATGTATTGTTGTTGTAATATTATTGTATTTATTTAACCGTGGGAGATCTATGCCGACTGGAGTGATACGGCCTCATAAAAACCGTTGTTAAGCAGTTCTTTCGTTGTTTTTCACCGAGTGAGTGAGGCTACTGGAGACTGAACCTCGCTCCATACCTAACTCTAGGGGACTGGGCACTAAAGGGACGGCTGTAGTTACTATCAGGGCTATATTTGTACTATTTTAATATTGTATTAATAGACTGTCGATGGAATGTCGTCGAAGTAGTTATACACTTTTCGTATTATACTGACTATGACCAGACCAATGGCCCCCCAATGACTTGTCACTGAACTGCCACTGATAAAAATGTCGTCGATTTCTTTGTAATAGTTTGGTAAGCGGTATATTTTAATGTGTTAGAAAATGAAATATTACATTTGCCAGATATTTTACTTTCACTGTTGTTGATATTACCATTGATAAGCCATTGTCACTACATCGTCACTGTGAAATTATGTTAGTAGACTACCGATATTTTTACCGATGTCAATGGCATCTCAATAGCCTGTCAATGGAATGACAGTGGCTTGTACGTTAACATAAAATAGCCAAATTGAGGCCCAGGCGACCCGTCTATTTGTTTGCTTCCAATACCATAGAAATATACATATATATTTATTCTTGTTAATATTATTGTAATTCATCACCATCAGACAGAGTGATAACAGTTGACGTAAGTGAAATCTATCGATAAATTAGCCGGCTTAATAGAAATAGTATAAAAAATACTCCCTAATTATTTTTTCTTATAATGGCACCCCGTTGAGAGAACAGACCGGGCGGTCTGTTCTCTCAACGGGGCCGCGGCATCCGAACACGTGGCGGTTACATTTGCTCACTCACGCACTCAGTAATGAGTGATGGAGTGACCGCTCAATTCGCTCGTTGACAATAGTGATATCATTTAGCAGAGATTTTTAGACTATTATTAAATATTGGTTTGCTGAGAATACAATACGATACATGCTACTACTACTACTCCTACTGTCTAATATTGAATCTGTTAAAGATATGTTGTTCAAGTACGTCAAGCATGATGCAATATGTTGGACTGAAAGATCAACCTTGTCATTCTATTAAATAGTGTTAGAATCACGCTTTGTAATTATGTTTAACATGACCGTGAAAATACTTCCGCCTTTTTGTAAATTGAAGAGTTGTATAATGTTAACAGGCCTGCTGATCTAGTTTTTAGTGACCGTGACTGCTAAGCCAGAAATCGTGGGTTCGATTCCCGCCCGAAACAAATAGTTCTGTGATGAATGCGATAACTTTCCTGTATAATATTTTTTTTACTTTATTTTAATTAAAAAAAACAAATAGTATCTCGATCTAGAGATATCCACCTGAGCCACCAGCTAGCCAAGGCTTTGAGATCAAAATTAAACTGTCAATTTAAACAATGCAAAGCATGAAGTGGAGTTTGATTGAAAACCCCAATATTTTAGAAATATTTTTAAAGAGAATTGCGGACAACTGCTTCTAACGACCGACCAGATCTATAAACACTATAAAACTACGTACGAGGTGCCAACACATAAGAAGACCTATCATGAATCAAGTGCATAAAAAACCGGCAAGCCCTCGTTTTAACTTTGATTGTAACCCGCCAGCCTGATGGTATACCATATATAGTATATAAAAAATGTCCATCAGTGCGTAAACACATTTGGCAAGATCTGGTAGAACAAAGAAATACCAAGAACCTTTTGAAAGGCTAACTTTGTTCTCATTCCTAATAAAAGTGAAATAGTAGATACCGCGGGACCGGGAGAGGTTTAGAACTCTCCCGGGCCGGCTAGGCTCGGGAACGGGCCAGGTACCGCAGACGACTTAGGCGCCGGAGGTCGCAGAACGACCACCGTCATGGCCCGAGGTACGTCGGGGCACCAGGGATTTGGTACACCTGGTTCCCCGACTACTGGTACCTAAGGCGGCGTGCGGTTTTAGTTTTTAGTTTTAGGTTTGAGTCCGACATTGTCACCGGTAAGTGATATCCAAGGGGGTTTCCGGACAGAAAAAAAAGAAAAAGGGACACTACACAATACAATTTCTTAAATATTTTTTACCCTTCTTCAATTAAAAATAATACAGTTTATGTTCAATAATAATTACTTTAGACCAAATTAAAAGAAAGGGTTCATGGCTGGAATCTCTGGATGTCTGGAACATGGCCTCACCTACCACCTACCCAGGAGGGAGGAAGGTGAGGCCAAGTTTCTACCTACTCTGGACGGGAACAAGGTAACGTATAATGATTTTATGGATGTTTCGCCCGCCCCACCCTCATAACTAAAAGGCAGCAACACACATGTGACTCTTGAGTTGCAGGTGTCCATGGGAGGTGGTAATCACTTACCATCAGATGACCCGTCTGCTCCTTTGTAAATTAAAGGTATTGCCCTAATCATGATTCTTCGATTTAAATAGAACGAACATTTATTTTGTATTTTCGAACATTTGACACACAACGCCGTCTAGTTCCAAACTAAGCAGAACTTGTACCATGAAATCTAGATTGACTGATAGAATACTGAGATACTTTTTTTTCTTCTTTTTTGTAAATATACATATTATACATAGAATACACCCAAACTCCGAATCAATATATATGCAGATCATACAAAGATTTGATCCGACCCGGGAATCGAACCCGAGACCTCAGCACTACCACTGCAACACCGAGTCAGTCGAATAGTCGATAGCTGTCTATCATTTCATGTCTGTCTTAAAACACGAATTGAATGTGAATGTCAATTTATTTTATAATTAATCTTGTACCCGTGTTTATTTCTACCTACAAATTTCAACATCTACCCTACATAAAGCTTTATTGCTCTCTCCTAACTTGTAATTACTCGTACATACGCCACAAGTATTCCGTCAAGTTAATTCCTAAGCGCTTTGAACTATTGCGGGTAGATTCATATTTTCCCAGTCAATGGGCTCGAAAATTACTGAAATTATACGTGCGAGGTGCAGTGGATGGAGGAAGGGAGCTTTTGTCAGCGGGTTGATTTGATGGACTGCCTGATTCTTTAGTCCAGTGATCTAATTTCATAATATTTACGTATCAAATATAAATTTAATAAAATATTATCTTTTATCGTTTAGTCAAAATCTCTGTGGCCTTGTCACGCCATATAAATGATATAAATCTTGTAAACTACCTCACAAACTTATAAATCTTTATACCTATAGCATTATCGACCTAAAGTACCCGTAAATAAAATAACATAACGTACCACAAATAATAATCATATTTTCCGACATCTGGCACACAACGCTATCTAGTTCAAACTAAGCAGAGTTTGTACTATGAAAACTAGATTGACTGATTGAATACTTAAACACCCAAACTCTGAAACAAATATTTGCAGATTAAACAAACATTTGGTCCGACACGGGAATAGAACCCCAGACCTTAGCACAGCAATCGCAAACGCTATGCTAAGAAAGATTGACTGTTAGAATACTTAAGCACCCAAACTCTGAAACAATATTTACAGATTAAACCAATGAACCCTAGACCTCAGCACAACAGTCGCATACACTACCACTGCACGACCGAGGCAGTTAATAATACAGCAGTTGTCCTATTTCAGTGACAGACACCGCATGTA